GGGGGGTTGTTATGTGTCAATCATCCGAGTGGGGCCTTTTATTCTGAAAGGGGGCAGGAAGGGGGTGAGGTGAGGTGAGGAGGGGAAGGCAGGGGCGGGTTTCTGCCCCGTCGCTAGGTAACAGTCTCCAGGCCTAAAGGCAAAGCCAGGTCTGGTTTCCATGGCAACGTCATTGGTGTGGAGGGTGAATGGAGTTTTTGGTGGTGTGTGTGTGTGTGTGTGTGTGTGTGTGTGTGTGTGTGTGTGTGTGTGTGTGGGATCTTAACAAAGAGAAGCACTCAGCAGGTCGAGTATCACACCAGTGACATGTGAGGCTCGTAACGGGGAGTGGATTGTGTGTAAGTGCACGAGGCCGAGCTCTTCCCAACATTTGTACCTGACGTGATCTGTGCTCGTGCACGCTCGGCCTCGGGACCGCATTCGTGCGCTTGATGGTAAATATGGCTCGACCGCAGCCATGAGCAAAGATCACGTGGACGAGTCGCCGGCCTAGCTACAGCAAGAACGTGAAAATCACTGAGAAGGTCGCGGCACAAACGAAGCCAGAACGTCCTGCGTGTTGCTGCTGCTGCGTCTTGAGCTCATGGCGTCGTTTTGGAATCGGTGGCGATTGAGGTGTGGAGGTCCAGCAGATTAACGCTCTGGACCAATCACGAGTCAGATATGAACCAACATCACTGTGATGAACTACATAAAATGACAGAAACCATCTCTACGTGTTCTTTCACTTTTTAGTTTGCTCTGTGTCCCATGTGCTAACGTGGAGGATGCAGGGGGCAACAAAAAAGATTTTTGCTTCATTTTTTCCACTTCACAACCGTTTGCACTCTTTACGTTAACGTAAGAGAAAAGTTGCTGCTACGCTGCCACGAGCAGATCATCTGTCAGAACTGTGTCTCTGCACCAGTAACCTTCCACATTTAGCTCATTACACAGAATAACAGTTTCTGTTCATGAAGTGAGTCTGTGCTTAGAGAAATTATATATTTTTACTTTTCAGACCACGATTGAAAACATCGCCGAGCGATACTTTGTCATTTTAATTTCAATGACAACTCTTTGTCTCACATTTAAACACACACACACACACACACACACACACACACAGAGGCTGCAGAGACAAAAGCATGTTTGTGTTGGTGAGAATGTGAAGCACAGTGGGTCTCTATGTATGGACGCAGTGTCAGGCTCGTCCCAGAGACACAGGGGGGGGGGGTGCATGAGTCGGAGGGGATTTCACAGACTCGCAGCATGACCACAAGTTTACAGAGAAAACACAACGTGCTCAGTTTTCACCTCGTGTAACTTTTGTACAAAACTCTGTCCGTCTTGTTTCTCTGTGTACTTATATTTAATACGGATTCCTGCTGGAGCCAAAACAAGTACAACTATTGTAAATATGATGTTGTAAGTATGTTATATGTTATCTATGGAAGTTCATTTCAGCCATTTTAGCACTTTAATTAACAAAGTACTCAAACCGTTACGATGGGCGGAGCTCGCAGTGCTGAAGAGGCCGGATTGGTTGTGTACGCCAGCGTTTTATTCTCCACACTCGCCTCTAAAATCTGCTTGCGAACTTTAAGTCTGGCATTTCGGGTGTTTTAAATACGTATCGTTAAAAACGTCCTCGTCTATTTTCAGCACGACTTGAGTCTCCGAGTTTTTTTTAGCGTTACTCCGTTTCTTAATCTGCGCCGCCGCGAGCCGGAGTGAGGCAACATCTCCTTCTCAGTTTTTAGACTGAGGTGGAAACTTAATGTTCTACATTTATAACGTGATGATATTACATGCGCTGTGATTTCACATGGTCTGGTGGAGGCCTCGCTATTGAACGGTCGGTGGAGTTTAAGGAGGAAGAGACAGGGGGCGACGTGGGGGAGCAGGGGGGAGTGAAAGACTAAATGTAACCACTCTCTCCATTGTTGTTTTTTCCTCCCCCTTCTCCTCCAAAAGTGCACAAAAGCAGCGCCAGTTCATTGTGGTGCAAAACAGAGCAGGCAGGGCAACACACACACACACACACACACACACACACACACACACACACTCGTTCTTTCACTCCCTGCAGACACAATTCACAAGCTCATGAGTGGAAGCACAAACACACAATTCAAAAAGTTGCAGTTTGAGACACAGACACACACACACACACACACACACACACACATACACACACACACACACAGTATTCAGACCCTCCATGTATTCACTGGAGTTAAGGTGCAGATCCCTGCTCTGTCTCACACAGAACTTTGTGTTGATTGGACAAGTTGCTCTGGTTTGAGAGACATGAATGTGACGTTTAAGACTGAATTAAAACACACACAGACACACTCACACACACACACACACACACACACACACACACACTCGCAGTAAAAGCGCTCTGTCATCATTGTGTTCTTTCCCTGAGGCTCAGATCGAGGATCAGTCAAACCAAACGCCACCATTAGTCCGTAGAGAACAGACACACAAATCTGACCTTAAATCAGCCACTGGGACGTTATTACATTACATTACATTACATTACATGATTCCCATCTTCTTTACTTTTATTTTTTATTGTTCATTCTGACATGACTTGTCTGTGGAGCCTGCAGAGACGTTCATCTCCTCACTAGTTGTATCAGTATGTTTTATATTTTTAACAATAAGAAAAAAAAGGTGTTGCAGTGTTTCCTCTTCTGCTATGGAGCATCATCTGTCTTCCATATGTCCCTGTGAGCTAAAGCTAGAGACGATTAAGTAACGATCTCATTGCTCCACACACGCTGGCTCTCTCAGTGTCTGATGCAGGCCCCCTGGTGGCAGCTGCGGGGAACACGGGCTCTGTTATATAGGTCACCCCACTCATCGCTGAGCTCTTCTGGGTTTTTCTGTGCAGCGTGTTTATCTGCGATGAGACCGAGGGGATCAGAGGCAGACAGAGCTCCGTGCCAGTGCCCATGATGCACTGCACTGAGCGAAAGCCCCTCGCCAGCTTCATGGAGGCCAGTGACAGGAGGAGGGGGTGGGGGCGGGGGGGTGAGAAAAAAAAGAAGATAAAAAGAGGAGTGTGGGGAAGTGCGTCATGGCAGAAGGGAGGCAGCTCTCCTCCGACTTCTATCACTCCCCGAAGTTGTCTCAAAGCAAATCGTTGGATCAAGATCATCAACAATTTTTTCATTGTCTTCGTTCCAGAGTGTTGGTTCAGTTTTAAACGAGGACGTGTTGACTTCACCTTCACATTCTGCGCTGCTTTCACTCAAAACCCTGCACTTGCCCTCAAACGTCGCCTGCTTGGTTTTAGGTTTGCTTGGACAGATTTCTCAGAAAGAAATTTCCAGGTTGGGATCATTAAAGTGCTCCCACCCACCTCACATCTACCGACCATCCACCCCGAGGACCCACTCACCCACTTACTGTCTCTGCAGGAGTGTTTGCCTCGATGTTTGCAATCGTGTGGATGAAAAGATGCATATGAAGAGCTTGACCCAAATATTTTAATTCCCGAGACACGAGCCGCAATCTGAAACGTGTGTGAACTGTGAAAGCCAGCGTTGGCCCGTCCACGGCCGGAGCAGACGGCCTCACAACACGTCTGAATCACTGTCGGTTTTTTTCTGCCTCATTCACTGTGGGGTTTTTTTTTTTGGTTGTCGTCTTGTTTTTTCACTGCATGTTCTGAACAACAGCTCACTTACCAACACACACACACACACACACACAAATACCTCATCTCTGTGAGGACAACCTAAACCCAGCGAAGTTAAAAAGACTCATTCCTTGTCTCCTGATCCGTAACCACAGCGTGCCGAAACACTGAATCCTTCCACAGCTGTTCCTGAAAACCAGACCTCTGGACCACCTCCTTCATGGGATCGTATTTACTTTGACAAAGGGGAAAATGTAGAATATCACTCTACTCGTGACCTTCAACTCACGATTACTTTATTAATAGATGGATTTACAATAGAAAACAAAAACCTAACGCTGACAGAAGTCTTTGTCTCTTCCTCCATTAAAAACAGACTAGGAGATTCATCCGTCTGATTCATTCGGCTCTCAGTCGCTCGTTTGTGCTTTTCCATCGCTGCTATTGTCGTTAGTCAGGACGTCCTGACTGAGTGTAGGAAGAAGTTGGGCTGCTGTGCACACCGAAGAATTTAACAACATGGCGGATATTTTAAACCACTGCTCTTTGCTCTTGAGACTTCAGCTCATTCCGTCAGTCTAACCCTCTGTCCTCTCCTCTCTCCAGAACATGGCGGAGTACAGCTCTCTGCTCAGCGACCTGTCTGAAAACATCACCAACGAGGACTTGGAGCAGCTCAAGTCGGCCTGTAAGGAGGACATCCCCGAGGACCAGAGCAACAACATCACCTCCTCCAAGGAGTGGTTCAGCTACCTGGAGAAGAATGACAAGCTGGCCCAGGGTGAGACAAACGTTAAATCACATGTTTCAGAATTTATTTCTGTGCTTCTTCTTATTTCCTCTGAAACCGACGTGTGAAGCATCTCTGCATCACGTGTGAAAACACCCTGTAACAACACCTCCCGTGCAGATAACCTGTCGTACATCGAGCACATCTTTGAGATCTCGCGGCGACCGGACCTGCTGACGAGGGTGATCGAGTACCGCACCACCGTGCTCAAGATCTCTGAGGACGAGGAGATCGACACCAAGCTCACACGCATCCCCTCGGCCAAGAAATACAAAGGTAACACTCACTGCAGCAGCTCTAACTGGTTATAAAGGGACGGGTGCTCTCTGGACTCCTGTTCATGCAAATCTGGTAAAATTCTGCCCTCTAGTGGCTAAACAGAACACTGTCTCAACTTCAGTACTTAAACACAAATCACATTATTAATACTCTACAGATTAACTCTGCGAATATTTAGAAATTAGGAATCAAGGTCTGAATAGTCGTCGTTTCAAGGGCTCATTTTAAAACCTGATCAGAACCAGATTCTAAAACCACCATCAATAATAATATTTGAGAGTAATAAATAATCAAACTATATATCCTTGTTATATTCGTTTGTTTCTCCTGAAGTGAAGCCAAAGACTCTCTCCCCCCTGGTGGTGAGCTCCAGTATAGGTCATAAACCCCAACTCCTCCATGTCAGCAAACGGGACATGGATCAAAATAAAATAATAATAATAATAAAAGTCCCAGGTATTCACAGAGAAGTGTAGACAGAATGAGACGCACCGCCGCATATATTTGTTTGTTTTTGTTGTGAAGTTGCTCCTCCGAAAGAA